CCCCAAAACCCCAAAACCCCAAATGATTGGTTTATATTGGTAAACAAAATTAACGATTATAATAAAATAATAATAAGATAATTTTTCGCAAACTCAATTAGCTATATCGATGGAATAGTAGATTTTCAAAGTACCCAATAATAGGTAGATGAACTATTCGATGAAGATAGACAAATCTCATATAAACTAGCAAATTAAAAAAATGAGTAATTTCCTCACAAGATGGAGTCAATTTGGCTTAACAAAAAAGTAAGAGAGTGACTCTAATCAGCCTACATTTTTCTAAGATCAAATGCTGAATATATTAATTACTGGGTTTCTGGAAAAGGGTACTCTTCATTATATCAATATTGCAAACGACATAAAATCTGTCAGCCAGGAAAGCAAGCACTTTATTCTTCAAATAAAACAAATCATAGTTTTGTTGAAGAAAATATTCTTTGAGTCTGACTAATTTTTAGTCATTTCCTTAGACAAGTTATTGTCTTTAGTGGAGTCAATGCTCGAGACATACTTTGCTGTCAACTTCACATTCCAATAAGATGAGGATCAAGATTTTGTAATTGAAGATGACATCAGCTCAGCTGCTAATTAAATGATATAGATCATGACTTTTCTACAAAACTTAAGAGTAATTATTGGTATTCTAGCCAACATAATGAATAATCAAATTAAGATTCTGATCAGACAGAGAGTTGTCTATTCCAAAGAGCTATTCAACTTTGAGTCTTATTTATCACTAGCTATGAACGACAAAAAGCTTGTAAGAGAGACAATCTTTATTAAGAATGGTAAAACTCTGATGAAAGAATATTTTACTTTCCATCTGAAGTAAACTAATGAGAGTCTGATAGCATTTGATTTAATGAATCCAAACTAAATTTGCTTATTCATCAACAACCTTGCCTAGTTTATTAATGATCTTCATTCTATCCAAACCTAGATTGATATTGAGCCACTTCTTTGTAATTTATATTTGTTTTTAAATCATTTTAAGTGGTGTACTTTTCAAAATTATCACTGGATATTATTCCAAAAGATGCATTGAGTAAGGTTTCTAGGAATTTCTTCAAAGAATTCAAAATGAACTACAGAAATGTGGCAAGTGTTTACAAAATTTTCAATGTGATCCACAAGTTCTTTGAGACTACACAGAATCAAACTATCAGAACATTCATTGAATTCAACCTTGTAAATCTTTGTGATACTCTCGCATAAGAGTAGTTCAAAATGGCCCTTCATATTTTTAATGAGAAGAACTTTGTTAGCTAAACAAATGTGGATAAATTTACGAACGAGCTTTTGAAAATAAATGACTTTATCAAATTCTTGTTTTTCTTGAACACAGGGGCTTATCAATGTATAAGAACAGTCAGAGAGATTTAGTATAAAGTGAAGAAGTTTACAGATGTTGCTTAGAGAAGGATTGACAAGGTAATAGAAAGATAGAAACTTCAAGGAGTGATAATCAACATTAAGTATCCTATTGATAGAATGAATTCAAAGAGATGATATTTATTATATAATGATTGATTTGATTGGCTAATTATAATATTTCAATTCAATATATTTTACGCGGGGTTTTGGGGTTTTGGGGTTTTGGGGTTTTGGGGAGATCGGAAGAGCA